TGTGTGTGTGTGTGTGTGTCTGAGCGTGAGTGTGTGTGCACATGCACACCCGCCTCGCCTTCCCTTCCTCCCCCTTCCGGGACCGAAAAAAGGAAAAACGGATCTCCAAAGCAGGGCACAGGATGATTCCTAACTGGCCCCTTGCCATGCACTCGCCAGCCTCGTATTGCAAAATCGAGAACGAAGATCAACGACAATCATCATATGCCGGTACCATCGTCCCAAGATAGAAGAGGGCAGCCATCTCCTCTTCTCATCCACGGCAGGCTGATACTATGAAACCGTCGTCCTGAGCTGAGTCATTGCTTACCAAAAGGCACCAATCTTGCATCACCCCTCGCTCCATTGCCCTTAGCTGCCCCAAGTGCAACGAAGAGCATTCATTCCGCCCAGGGGTACGGCATCATCCACTAGCAAGAAAGCCAGTTCTTAAGACATCGGGGGGAACCCTTCCAAATAAGGATTCATCTCCCATGTCTCCCTCCGGTCTCGTGGCCCCCCTGAAGCCAGTTCTTAAGACATTGGGCAGAACCCTTCCAAATAAGGATTCATCTCCCATGTCTCCCTCCGGCCTCGTGTCCCCCCCCCCCAACACCCCTCTTTGCTGCATGCAGGCACCACTCATTTGTGTGAGAGCTCTCTGCCAGCAACATAAGGCCTGTGAAGGTGTTGCAGTAAACCTGTTTCTTTTGTGGTGGTCAGGGGGGGGGACTATACGGTCTATACCCTACAAAGATATTCTTCATGAACTCCTGAAAACGATGCGAGTACATCAATGGGTCGACGGCAGAGATTGAACTGCTGTCGAACTTCATGGACTTGTACGCATTCTCCGCCCACTTGCGAAGGTCATACTCTTGAAGAATGTCGATAATGCCGAAGTAAACCACCACATCCGCTCTCCGCCTTGGGTCCATCTGTCGGTCAGGCGTCAACCCAATTGCACGAGCTGCCATATTCACTCCTAGCTGTACCTGTGTGCGGCCGAGTTGGAATGCGAGTGCATCTGTCCCTCCATTTCGCGCCACAACTGGGCCATTTCCAGCCAGGGGGGTGCTGTAGAAGCGGCGGCCCAGCCTATCCCTCTCCCCTGATCTCCTGTGATTCCTGCTTCCTAGTGAAGGTTGCAAAATGAAAAGTGGACCAGATTTTATAATCGACTCGTCGTCCTCACCATCTCCAGTTTGGGCACGTGCACTTGCACTTTCATCTCCATCCCCTTCCCCGGTTGTGCCATTTACTGACACGGCATGCACATCTTCTTCTTCTCTATCGCCGCCCTGCTGCTGCTGCTGAGAGTGTGGCTCTCCAGCAGCAAAACCTTCCGGTTCTAGCGCCTTTGCAGGAAGACGAAAAGCAGTTGCGCAATCTCCAGGCCCCCCATTGCTCGTGGCATTTGTATCCGTTGGGTTCTCCACAAAATTACGCCGCGAGCAAAAGTGGATGCCAAGCAGCAAACTGTAGTCCATGATCCGTTGCTGTTCAAGAAACTTGCAGTCCACTTCAAGCTGGAAATGGAGGCGCTCTCTCCATCCGTCCTCCAGCTGGAAAACCATGTGCAAATCCAGATCCTTCAGCGTCGTGTTCTCATCGATCATGGCCGTCTCTGTATGCCTTCCCAGCGATGACCCCTTTAGGTCATACCTGCGGTGGATACGCAGGCCTGAAAACATGTTGCCCATGACCACAAAGCGGACCTTGCGCCCACCCTGCGGTTTGATGCGGTGCAGTCCAAAGAACTTTGTGAGCAGCGTATTTTCGTACGTTTTCACATGTCTGAAGTAATGAGGAAGCATTCCAAGGAGGACACCCATCTCCGCCTTCTTCATTGTCTTGATGATGAACCTGTCATCATTTGACAAATAAAACACACTCCCACTCTTTCCTGGAGAGGACAGCTCTCGAAGAGCATCGCTTCCGCATAGCGACAGCATGTACTCCCCGGCGTCAATCCCGAACATCTCCCGCAGGTGCCGAAATACCATAGGGCAGTAATCCTTCCACTTGAAGTCCGTAGACTGATGGCGCGGTGTGCTCCGCGACCCCTCTTTCGGAAACCATTGGCAGACCATCGCTCGGTACCCGAAATCTGCATCCTCAATCTTCCGCGGAACCTCCTGCATTATTCTTCCAACCGCGTATCGAATTCCTAATTGCAAGCTGAGCATCAAGTCATAGCTTCTGTGCCCTTTATAGATGGACTCCCCAGGCCTTTTGATTTCCTGTAATTTCTTCTTCTTCTTCTTCCCCCTCCTCTTTTGTCCTGTGAGGACCACCTCCTCCATGCTCTCCATCACCAAGGTACCGTGATCGTACTCCCTGCAAAACACCTTCGGCTTCGGCTTCGGCACCTTCCTTTTGTGTCCCAAGGCATCCACTGACCCCTGTTCCTTTCTCTGGCATTCCCTGCTTGCTTCCTGCTCCTTATCAAAGGCCTCCAGATTTGTCAAGTTCAGTTCGACGGAGTGCTGTCCCACATGTGCAAAACCAGCCCCCGAGCACGCGGATGTTGCACCGAGAAAAGCACCAGACACAGCTGCAGTGGCACCATGAATAGCCCCCGTTATGGCCCTTTCAGCGCCGTGAAGTGCACCGGTGACAGCCTCAGACAGCTTGTTCTGCACTCTATCACCTTCGAACATGACTAAGGCACTAGAGTGGTCCCCGCCGTATCCCAACTCCTCTCCCGCCTTGTCATTGGCATTGGGAGCGACAGCCTTGGGCTCGCTCCCATTCATCGTTTGGGGGGCCAACTCCCGAGCTGCAAGGCGGCTTCTCTTTGGCCCTTTTGGTGCCTTACCTCCTTCCGAGTCCGCATCATACACCAGCCTCCTCGTTTCGCTCTGCGCTTCGCCCAGCAGCAGCCCTGCCCGCCCTCGATCATCCTCTTCATCGTCCTCGGCACCTCCAACGCTAGCTCCATCTACCTTTTTCTCTGCCACATTTAAATCGCCAACACCCACTCCCGCCGCCGCCTTCTCTGCTGCCAAATTTGAACCATGCCCCTCGGACTGTGATGGCAATTCCACAGCCATTTCACCCTCCTGCATTTCTCCCAGATATCCACCCTTTCCAACCAATGGAATACCGTCGTCGTGCTCCTCACTCTGCCCACCTTCCTCCTCATCTTCCCCTTTCCTAACAAAGGCCATATCTCGGTAATCCTTGCCCACTTTTCCGCTGAACTTCAGCGGCCCACTCCACTGCCGTTGGATCTTCGGTTTCATCTTTGGTCTACCAGGTTTCATACGAATATGCTTCCTCTCAAACTTCGGTTTCCCGGGACCCACGCCATTGGCACTCTCCCCGAACCCTCGCGCCGACGCCACAACGAGCATCCTCTCCTTCTCTGTCAACGGGCCGCTCATGCTCAGCCATCGCCCAGGAGTGACGGGGGGCCGCCGCCCAACACCACCACCCTTCCCTCCTGGCACACCCGTGGCCTCGTCCTTCCCCTCTGACACCCTTTCACTGTTCCTGTCCCCTTTTGTTGCCTCTCCATGGCTCCTTCCGTACCTTTTACCCTCCTTCGCAGACGCGTCAGCAAACACTTTCACAAGGTTGCCATGCCGATCCCTCCGGAGGGCTTTGAGACATCCGGGGGGGTAGTAAAACCCCTTTCCGTGCTTGAGGCCCCTATACCACGTACCTTCGTAGCACGCACCATCTGCCCACGTGAAAACCCCCTTCCCATGCTCACACCCACCCTCCCATTCTCCATCATACCTATCCCTGTTGGCCCACACGAAGATGCCTCTTCCCGACATGGTCCCCCCCTTCCATTCCCCGACATACTCGCTCCCATTAGCCCAGGTGTACCGGCCCAGACCCTCGGCTACCCCTTGCCTCCATAACCCCTCATACGCATCCTTGTTGGCAAACACCTTCTTTCCCAGGCCGTGCTTCTTCCCCATGCTCCATGACCCCTTATACCACATATCATCAGCCCCACGGTACAAACCAGTTCCATGCATGAACCCGCGAAACCACTCCCCATCATAGAAAGCCCCAGATGGCCAGACGAACATTCCCCGACCTTCCTTCTCCCCTCGCACCCACTCTCCCTCATACTTGCTTCCATCCACCCAAAAGTACGTTCCTCGACCATGCGGAAGCCCCAGTCTCACACTGCCAGTGTATATATCCCCATTGCCAAACTTCATCGCCCCTACCTTCCCACTTTTCGATCCCATTTTCCCCATACCGACCCCCCCCCTCCTCCCCCCCCCCCCCCCCCCCCCCCCCCCCCCCCCCCCCCCCCCCCCCCCCCCCCCCCCCCCC